TTCTTTTCTCTAGACTGAACAAGCCCAACTCTCTCAGCCTGTCCTCATAGGAGAGGTGCTCCAGCCCTCGGATCATTTTAGTAGCATCTCCATAGCAGGACAGCCACTTGATTCACAGAGGATATGCCACAGACTGAAGGCACAAGACCAAGGCACTGAAAACTCCTCCACCAAAGACCATTATCCTGACTGGACAGACAGGTTCAGGGGTGAGGCAGTGGGGTCATTCGCTTTTTGGACAAGCAATCAGTGCAAAGGTAGAGGAGCTATGTGCAGAAATTCCCTTTTCCTTCCTTTCTATCATAAGGGCCTAATCCTGATAGAGATTACTCCCTTACAGAGGCGTGATATAAGAGGGGATGGGATGAGTTGGGAACTGCTGCTCTTTAGGTACTGATCCCACCAACCCACAACAGTGACTTCCCACTCAAGACGCTCCCCTCCATTGCCCGCTGGTCTGGCCATGTCCTGGCACAGCATGGGGCCATGATGCAGTGCCACAGGCTTGTATCCCCCGCATAACACACTTGTTTTTTCCTTTCTGCACATCTTCACAGAAAGACTATGGCTACTCTCCTGCTAGCATTCATTTCATCGGCCATAGTCTTGGAGCACATGCTGCAGGGGAGGCAGGGAGAAGGAAACCTGGCATTGGAAGAATAACAGGTACTGAAGCCATTTCAGCTGATGAAGCTTTATATTTTCATGCTACTTAAGAGAACTGAAGAATCACAGCTGCCTTATAAATACATAATACAGACTGCAATGTGCTGGTTTTTCATAATTAACAGAATACAGCTAGCATGACGGCCCACAAACGAAGACATACCCTATTACATGCCATGCATTTCACATGGCAACGTCCACAGCTCTGAGAAACGCTCCACTACAACAGCTCAGGAAGGCTTAACTGTCCCAACTGTGCCTAAACAGAGGCCACTTTTCACAGGTCACAACAAGTCCCAGGGAAACACTTGGTTATGATTTTTAATGATATAAAAGAACAGGAACAAAATACTCCATTACATGTGGAATAACAGACTTGTGAAACACTAGCAACTCATTGTCATATTTGGCTTTAAAAGCCCACTCTAACATGACTTTTCAGCAGTTCAAAAGATTGAAAATCTGAAAGGAAAAATTAAAACCCCTAGACTTAGTATGCCAGGATGAGACAGTAAACAGCCATGGACACCTGAGAAGGAAGAAAGCTGATAGTCCCATAGCTACAGAGAGAGACACAGCGTCATGACACACTCGCACAACATGTTTTTAAAGGCTCATTGTTTTCCGCTTTCCTTTCTCCTCCAGTCAGTTCTTTTCTCTCATTGACATCCCTTTGGCTAAGCTGTGTGCACAGTTAGTCACACAAGAAATTCAGGGAAACTGGGGTCAGAACGCTGTTGCCTGAGCCCCAAAGAGCTCACCGACACCGAAACGAAGGGGTAAACACTTTCAACCAAACTCTTTTGGAAGTTAAAATAGATTTTTGACCAAATAAAAATTCTCAGACAAATCTACATGCAAATCTACATCAAGATTTCATATTTTTCACTATCATGCAAAAAAACCCCCAAACCTCTTCTTATAACATTGTTCCCCAAAAGTAAGCCAAGCACCCGTCAGCATTTTACCGCGTTGCAAAGCCTCCAGCCACCTTTCTATTAAAACCCTGCTTGTTTTGCTGGCTGTGGACCACAAAATAGATTTTTATATGTGGAGTAAAGGCAGAAATGTAATGACACACAGTGTACGCACATTGTATGTGATGACATACATATAATATTATTTACTTTACCAGACGTTTCTCCATTTATTTAGGTTTAGATCCAGCTGGGCCCCTTTTCCAGTATACTCCCACAACGGTTAGGCTGGATCCTTCAGACGCAGAATTTGTTGATATAATTCATACACACGCAGGTCATCTTTTTTTTGACTTTGGTAAGTTTTCATGCAAAGGCTGACACCAACACAGAGGTTGGCCACAGCATACCTGAGAGTCATCAGCCCCAATTCATTGCTCATTTCAGCTCCAGGGATTCTTCAGACTTGCGGCCACCTGGATTTTTACCCAAATGGTGGGAAGAAGATGCCAGGATGCAAGCAGCTTCGTGTACCTCCTGCAACTCGGAATATCAACGACCTTATGAGAGGTAAATATATTTTAAAGAAGTAACACCTCACGGGAAGCTATGGTTAGAAATAAAGGCTAGGCTAAGGTAAAGCCTTTTGTATGTATATATTACATATATAGCTCAGATTTGGAGTAGGGAGAGAATGCTCAAACATGGAAGATTTACAGCTGCCGGTGAAATACCCTCCAATATTCTTTTATACTAACCAAGGCAAATTCCAGATGGAAACTTCAGTTAAAGCATGCAGGCTTATTCATCACAACCTTTATAAGAGCCGACCATTGTGTTGACAGACTGACCTCAGTGGGAATTCCACACATGAAGAACCAGAAAAATTTCATTCAAGGATAATCCAAAAATGAGTATTTTAAAATCTGAGCTTCCCTTCTCCCTAGGAAGACATCAGTCCCAATACTACTGGGGTTAGACATACTCATCCACACCATTAACAGCTTTAGTATCTTCAAAGGGAACAGCACAAGGTTAAAAATACAGAAGATGATAAAATGACTGCTCCATTGATAGTTCATGTTCTTCAAAGAAAGCTGGGCAGTTAATCAGAATTACCCTGGGATACAGTACAATAGATCCCCAAAATCCTGTCTTCTGATCCTAACCTACAGAAATGAGAACATCTGTTTTGCACCGCTAAATGTTTTGAAATTCCTACTTCTAATTAAGTAATTGGCTTTCAAAAATGCCCTGTCTTAGAACTGGTTGGAGAACTTCGTAATAAAGAGGACTGAAAGCTGGCTGTGCACAAAGTAACTTGGAACCAAAACATTTTCCAATCGGACTGCATAAGATTGTCTGTATTTTCAGGAAAATAAATTAAATATTTTCCAGACAAATTTCACAAGGCTAGTTGCGATGTTTTGTGGTGAAGGAGGAGCTCAGCTCTACTGAACATGAACAGATGGAGTTGGTTGTTCATGTAGCTCCTAAAAACAGACAGCCTTAACTCCTGCCTCTTAGTTAAGCCTTACTTTGTGCATATCTCTTCTGTTTGATAATATTTACATTTATGTAGTGCTTTTATGTATGAAGTGCTTTAGAAATGCTATTTGGTAACTTATTTCTACAGCTTTTGATGCAGTAAGAGGAGGAGTATTATGTTCCCATTCTATGCATGCTAAGTGAATTTGGCACTAGCACAAACTAAGCCAACCGTGAGAGCTGGGGTTTTTCAAGTTAGAAGTGCAGACCCTTCTGAATTAGATTTAAAGAAGGAACTATAAAGAAAACATACTCAGGAAGCCTTGATGATGCAGATTATTTTCAAGAAAAACAGACAAAAATACTTTTCAGAGGGGTTTTGGTCTGTTTTTTCTTTCCATTTCTAAAGCACAATGTGTGTCAACTGGTCTGTCTTTAAGCAGCATAAATATTGACAGTAGGGGAAATTCTGATTTCACTATGAACTGCGCCAGCTTGCAATTGCTTCGGTGCCTCCAAGACTTCACCCTGTGATTAGGTGAGCCACACACACAAGCTGAGTAGAGCTTATTTTTGTATAACCTAAGTTTAGTTTATTGTGCTTTGATAAAGGAGAGATGTCAGAGCCAATGAAGATGATACTCGTTATAAGGGACCTGTGAATGTAACACATACAGCACTTTCTTCTTTCCTGCACTGACTGCTTATAAATTTCACGCTGGTGGGAAAATGTACTTGTTTCAAATAATTCTGACAAAATCAAGGACACACTGCCAAACATCTTGCTTTGCAGAGCATTTCACAGAGTCACCACTGAAGTTACAATAATTACTTCAGTTACCTTTAATTCTAGAAATGAGGGGGAAATGTGGTTTTACAAAATACTATGTTGTGATGATGGTGAGCAAATAACAACTATTTCATGGTAACTACTATATGCTTTACAAATTCTGCAGCTATGAATTATTCCAGTCTTTGAAATATCAAAGGGAAATTATCCTAAATCCTCCTCGGTTAAGTTAAGTCCACACAGCAGGATGGGAGGCTGCACGAGGTTCACCTTGGTGCACCTCCACCTCTGTTAACTTCAGCATGAGCACAGGGACATACAGATTAGAACCTAGTTCTACCCATCAAAAAATATGTATGTGGCCTTAAGTTCACCTTTTACTGTAATAATTCACACTTTAAACATCTTTTAAGTATTACCTTTTTTTTTTAATCTGAGACTTCACTGTCTCTACAAATGCTTTTGAGGAAAAAAGACCCACAAGTGTTGTTTTGGCATGGACTTTATGTTAATGTATAGCTTTAATCTTTTTTACGTGGGCTTTTTCCCAGAATACAGATCTGTTGGATGTGGACATAAGAGAAGTCTCCAGTATTATGCTGAGAGCATTATCATTCCCAATGGATTCGTTGGGTATCGGTGTGAAACATACAAAGCTTTTGTACTGGTAAGTACCAGGTACATATTTATCTGAGAGGTTATAGCCCTGCCCTTCTTCTCTTAATAAATTCTGAGACAACTTCTACACTCTGGATCATGGAACGCAGGGAGGTTATGCAGACCCGCTGACTACCCTCATCCAGACCATACCCAAAAACCAGGATAAATGTAAATGCAGTGAACTCCAAAAAAAAAAAGATCCAGAAGAAAACAAGGCAGTAAATATAAATACCAAAAACAGTTACAAAGGGAGATACAAAGAGCTGAGTGAGAGGGCAACGAGAGGTGGTGGCTGGGTTCACCTTTTGCATAGGTGAGCAGCGAGGGACACTAAACCTCATGGAACCCATCATCAAGAGGACAGCCTCTGGGTTTCAGAAATGTTTAAACATCTGTACAAACAATAAACATCCACAGTATATAGGGCAGGGGAGGTATTTATACAGCACAGCACTGTTGTCCGAAAGCGGATCCATGACCCAGTGTGCAGCGAGTCGGTTGTCACACACTCAGGAGAGACACCACACACTTACTTCATATCTGCAGAGATGGGTGCTAGGTGGTAGCTCCACAAAGCACCTTGGTGATCACACAGCAGCTTTTTACACAGTCGAGCACTGGTTATCAGTTATTGCGCAATCACACCTAATCATGTCCATTTCTTATCGGTTCCTCCAAGCCTTATGTTCATTTAAAGCTACAGCATCCTTTCTTTACACTACGCATGCCCTGTATGGAAGGGTCTTGACCTAGGCAAGGGTTCTTTGACCTGGGGGCATGATTCTTAGTATTATAATGAGGGTAGTTCAGCTGAGGGTACATGGATCTTGGGTTTTCTTGCCAGGTTTTGGATGCTTTCAAAACATCTTCAGGCCTACTTGTTCCAGGATGTCCTTGTTCCAAGACTGCCAACAACACATTCTTCTGCTTAAATGTTCCTTTTATTATTTACAAAGTATGTCTGGTATCAAAGCCATTAAATATTTGAGCTATTCTTTAACAGCGTTACTCACACAGCTCTCAGGTGGCACAAGAAAGAAGGAAGCATAATCTCCTGGTGTCTCACGCCTGATAAAACTGGGCTTTTAGTGAACCAATTCTGGCAATGCAGCTGAGGACTGCTCAAGAAGGAAGACAAGCCTGAATTTATTTCCATCTCCTCCCAAAAAGAACGATTACAATACTGTAGAAGAGTTGTTAATATTTGTAGCAATGTTGCCATGTGACTTGAAAGTTTGATATAATTTAGGACTTGAAAACCTGAGCCCCGTGCAATTTAGTGATGCAAGGGAAATGACTTTTCAGTCTCATAATGAACAAATGATGATGATGATTTAGCCTTTTATTCTTCTAATGCCCAAAGAGCCAAAGATCCACAAATACCAGTTCCTACAGAACCTCCCAAATATTAAAATTGAACTATCCAAATGTAACAATGCTAATTTTTCCAAATGCATTTAAATCACTTTCACTGAAAATATACATGCTTATCTTTTTTTTTTACTTTAATGTATGTCAAGGTCTTGATCTGAATGTTTGATCTTTGTAGGTAGTTTATGACCCAGTGTGCAGCGAGTCGGTTGTCACACACTCAGGAGAGACACCACACACTTACTTCATATCTGCAGAGATGGGTGCTAGGTGGTAGCTCCACAAAGCACCTTGGTGATCACACAGCAGCTTTTTACACAGTCGAGCACTGGTTATCAGTTATTGCGCAATCACACCTAATCATGTCCATTTCTTATCGGTTCCTCCAAGCCTTATGTTCATTTAAAGCTACAGCATCCTTTCTTTACACTACGCATGCCCTGTATGGAAGGGTCTTGACCTAGGCAAGGGTTCTTTGACCTGGGGGCATGATTCTTAGTATTATAATGAGGGTAGTTCAGCTGAGGGTACATGGATCTTGGGTTTTCTTGCCAGGTTTTGGATGCTTTCAAAACATCTTCAGGCCTACTTGTTCCAGGATGTCCTTGTTCCAAGACTGCCAACAACACATTCTTCTGCTTAAATGTTCCTTTTATTATTTACAAAGTATGTCTGGTATCAAAGCCATTAAATATTTGAGCTATTCTTTAACAGCGTTACTCACACAGCTCTCAGGTGGCACAAGAAAGAAGGAAGCATAATCTCCTGGTGTCTCACGCCTGATAAAACTGGGCTTTTAGTGAACCAATTCTGGCAATGCAGCTGAGGACTGCTCAAGAAGGAAGACAAGCCTGAATTTATTTCCATCTCCTCCCAAAAAGAACGATTACAATACTGTAGAAGAGTTGTTAATATTTGTAGCAATGTTGCCATGTGACTTGAAAGTTTGATATAATTTAGGACTTGAAAACCTGAGCCCCGTGCAATTTAGTGATGCAAGGGAAATGACTTTTCAGTCTCATAATGAACAAATGATGATGATGATTTAGCCTTTTATTCTTCTAATGCCCAAAGAGCCAAAGATCCACAAATACCAGTTCCTACAGAACCTCCCAAATATTAAAATTGAACTATCCAAATGTAACAATGCTAATTTTTCCAAATGCATTTAAATCACTTTCACTGAAAATATACATGCTTATCTTTTTTTTTTACTTTAATGTATGTCAAGGTCTTGATCTGAATGTTTGATCTTTGTAGGTAGTTTAATTTCATTAAGGTTCTGCATAGGAATAAAGGCTGGAAAGCAGACAGAACACATTCCAAAGTGAGATCTCAAGTTTCAGTATTCCTAAACTTAAATGTCTTTACCATACAAGTGAAATATCCAGCCAGACCTGCTTGCAAATACAGTTAGCCGCCCTGTAATAATTAGCAGACAGCCTTTCAATGAACCCTATGGAAGATGAATATATTAGCTATATTTTACAGATCAATTAGTAAGGCACAGCATGCGTTAAGGTATTTACTTACGGTCTCTGCAAGAGCATAAGGAATTAGGCCAGATTTTCAACCTGTTTCTCTCTGATTTTCAGCCAGATGAAATACACTGACTGACCATCTCACCTCCTTTTTTCACCACACTGATAAATACTGAAGATATGATCTGAACTCAGAAGCAAGTACCTTTTCAAAAAAGCCGGGAAAAAGCTGAAATACCCTAATTTCTTACACTTCAAGAAGTGGGATTAAAACAGATAACATCTTGTAACACACATTGTTATTTTCCCCCAGGGAGACTGCTTCCCATGTCCAAATGAAGGATGCCCACTGATGGGTCATTATGCTGATAAGTTTCCACATAAAACTGAAAAAGAACAGCAAAAGGTTTATTTAAACACAGGGCCCTCCCCTCCATATGCTCGTAAGTGCTTCTTTTGGCTGGTGAATTCTAAAGTGGCAATGAATTATGTGTGACCAAATATCTTACACTTCTACAGAGAGCTGCTGGAGTTAACAAGTGGCACTTCGCCCAAAATCCAGAGTTTTAGGTGTGTTAGGAACATGCAGTCCCAGCATTATCTGGGAAAGGCTGAGATAATTATAGAAACAGATCAACTGATACTGACCTCTGAGTTGGAAACCCTGCTAAAATTTTGTCAATTAGATGATGCCTTCAAAAACTCCATAAAGCTGAAGGTGGCAGGAATGTTATGCTGAAAGTGCAATATTTCAAATCAAAAAAAGTTACATTGTTTTTATTGAAAAAAATTTATAAAACTGGATAATTTCAGGACATTTTTGCAAAGCTCATCAAGTCAAAATTGCAGGGAGTAATAAGAAGTATAATTTAAATTGTGATTAATGTAGAAGCAGCCACAAAACTGGGAAATAAGAAAATTCATAAACAAATTGTAATCCATCACAGGTGATGAACTGCAAGGGCAGTAAATAAGAGAGGGTCTTTGAGATCCTAATTCACTAGGCACTACAATATTAAAGCAAAATTAAGAACCAAAAAAAAATTTTATATCATGTCTCCATAAGAGCAAACTGTAAAAAAATGAATTTGAGCACAGAGAAACTAGCCATTTCTCAAATCTGAATGAATACATTAATTTCAACACTTACAAACTGTTGAATTTATAGAAATTATAGCCTGAACCCAAATATAACCTTATGAAGTGGGTGAAGAGACTGTCCTTATAATAGCCCAAATTTCAGTCAGTACAAAAACTTCCCAAACCTGGTTGCTTAAAATCAATATGTGCTATTGCACCCAAGACCCTGCTCCTGCCTTAGAAGGATGTGTGGGACGGCAGGATCTCCCAACAGCTGCTGGGCTGTGCGCAGGTGGGAGAAAAGCCCTAAACACCCTGTATCGGGATCATCCTGGGAAAGCCGCCGGTTTTGTTTCACACATCTTTAACAACACAGCAGTCCAGTGGACCTCACTTCATAGCTGAGAGCTAATATGTTACCCATGAGACCCCCCAAATTGCTCAGAAGTGTAAGAAATTACAAAATCAAAAGTGATGCCAAGTGGAAGAGCAAGGTACAGCCATGGCAAATTAAATACTCAGCATAGTCAGCAAAGATTGGATCTGGGATTTAGACCACCGCCAAGAAAATTAATACAACCAGAATCACGGAGAACTAACATGTGCCTTAATAGAGAGTGATTTTGCTTACAAGCACATTTGTGCAATCCTTTCATCTCCCTGAAAGACATGGAAACATATAAGAAGTTTTACCATTAGGAAAGAAATCTCCTTACAACCATAATCTATTTCATTTTGCTTTCAAAGGCTGGCGAAAAGAGATACATGTCAGAGTATCTGCAACAGAAACCATGATGGGAAATATAGATGTAGCCTTGACTGGAACTGATGGGATCAGGAAAAAATACACAATTGACAAGTAAGTTTAGCATGGCTGTTGAAAAAATGGCTCTATCGTTACCATATTGAATTTATACACAGCTATTTTTATGTGTCTCCCCTTGTTCTATGTGATCTGTGACTTACACTGGGAATAAAAGTAGCTGGTAAGTCAGCTGTTGAAAAAATGGCTCTATCGTTGTTACCATATTGAATTTATACACAGCTATTTTTGTGTCTCCCCTTGTTCTATGTGATCTGCGACTTACACTGGGAATAAAAGTAGCTGGTAAGTCTTGAAGTTCCCCATGCTACAAATTGTGGTCAAAATCTGCTTGCTGGTCTCTCTTGCTCTGTGGCTACTGCTGGACTTAAACATCAGCTGGCGATTTCTAAGGAAACAAGGAGCTGCATGATGTGCAGTCAATTAACCATTCCCTCCTCCAGGGAACATGGGCGTAAGAAAGTTGCAGCTTGCTTATGAACTGTGCTGGAGTCTGAGATTCCTGTCCACTCAGCCTGGCTTTTCCCAGTAAATGTGAATTTAGATCTCATAAACTGATCCTTGTCAAGAGCACAGTTTAAATATTGTAGAACCAACCTTCTCTGTGTTTAAACATAGCCCTGTTACTGGTCTGTACCAAGAGTACCTTTGGTTGCAAATACACTACTGTAGTGATACACCTACAGGTAATTTCTATGTTAATGTCAGGCTGTAATGTGCATTCTGTTATAATGAACACTGACAGCACAGAAGGCATGAACATAAACTATAATTTTCAATTTTGTTCATGGTTGAGAGCAAGCAGAAATACTGAGATAACTTTTTGACTTGGACTTATTTGAAGATAGACCTCATTTTCCAAAAATAACGTCTAGAATAAACCCCATGGCAATACTGACAAAGGCTGGGCTAGCTAATCTAGTGTTTTCATAGAATCATAGATTGTTTTGGGTTGGAAAGGACCCCTAGAGGTCATCTAGTCCAACCCCCCTGCAGGAGCAGGGACACCGCTCACTAGATCAGGTTGCTCAGAGCCCCATCCAGCTTGGCCTTGAATGTTTCCAGGGATGGGGCCTCCACTACCTCTCTGGGCAACCTGTTCCAGTGTTT